CTGAACAAATAATTAACTCATAAAAGTTAATAATAATTTATCTTATCTGAATAACTCGATCTAACTTACATTACTGATATATTCATACATCATGTGGTACAAACAACAATGTACTCACTTTTTCTTCCAGAACTCTGATAAAGTTTCACTGAAGAGAAAGGCAACAACGATGATGAGCATGAAAGCCTGAGATAACAGGCCAAACCGTGACTGATGGAGCTGGGAGGTGTTGATGCTTTGTTGAAGCAGTGGATTACTGTCTCCACTTGCAAACAGCCTTGCAGTTGCTGGGTCTGCAGAGTCACAGTCCGGTTCACTGGCTGCGGGGGTTCGGCTGCTAGTCGCAATTGTTGTCACTGTGGTTTCAAGCAAGAAACCACCACGGACCTATAATATAAAAGAAATAATTTAAGAAAACATAATTTGAAGTATGTGGTATCATTCGGTGAAAATAATCATCATGACAAAACTTAACCTTTTCACTATCAACAACTTTGTTGAAGATTTCTGTCTTCTGGGTTGTTGCGCTGTGTAGTCTGGGTGGTTGCGCTGTGTAGTCTGGTCGATGCTAACCAACGTTTCAGAGGTCATACTGCCTCCGTCATCAGGACGATGAATCGTTGGTTGACATCGACCAGACTACACGGTGCAACAACCCAGAAGACAGAAATCTTCATACTCACCGCCGTGAAAACCTCAAATCTTACAACTTTGTTGCTGCCTTACCTCCAGACCAGCCTAATTTATTTTATTAGTAATATTTTTAAAAATGATGTCAATAGACACATTTATGTGGTAAACAAGATAACAATAAAATTGCAAAGAAAAATAGCTGCAGAGACAAATGCTGCACAACACAACCCTTTAACATCATCAATAGCACAGAATCTCAATGCCATACAAAATGGTGTATACTTGTTGTCAGCTACTGAGGTTATATACTGTTTATTATGAATGTAAGTTCAGCATATAGTTTGGGGGGAGGGGGGTTATGGCATCAATTAGTTTTGTAAGCAGTTACCAACGGTTTGGAAGTATATATTACCTCCATCTGCAAACCTTGAAGATGGAGGCCATGCATTTACTCTGATACATTGGTAACCAGCTAAAAAAACTATAAGGTGTTACAACTCAGAAGACCAAAATACACATTTCCATTGCTGGGAAACCTCAAATCTCATCAAACTGGCCAAGATTAATAAATAAAAATTATTATAATAATCTCAGATCAATATGTTACAACACTCAGGTTTTATAAAACCTGTACAATTACTCATATCAGGAACTTAGAGGGCATTAAATCACAGTCTGATAACATTAAAAAATAAATATGTAAAGTTTTAATAAATAAATAAAAACATTTTTTTCATAAACATACCAGTCTGTATAGACAGAAAATTGGTTCAAACTCACCAACAACTTACCTTAAAGAATACCTCAACACCATAGATAAGGAAGAAGATGACAACAATGAACAGCAGGACAGCATAACAGCCATTGAACACATGTGTATAGAAACTCTGCGAACAAAACAAATTCAAAAAATTATAACACATCAACACTCACCATGAAAATAAGGAAAATGGAACATCCTTCCTTACTTTTGACTGAAACTTTTCTTAACATAAAATGTAGGAGCAGCCAAGAACCACTACCAAATACACATCATAAACAACACACACACAGTAAATTGCATAACTAAAACATACAGCATAGACAACTTACATCTTCACATGATTGGTTCCCATGTTTTTAATCTATTAACCAAACAATGAGTAACAAACATTATTAATCTGTGACAAACTATAAGTAGCCAGATGACACTGGAACTCTTCCTGTATCTTCTTACAGGACACTTTATTTTATTTATACAGTGAAAACAACCTACCAACCTTCCTAACAAGTAATGGTAAACATTTAAACTAATAAATCTGGAAAACATATTTCTGACCCTACGCAGTTAATTTTATGGAACTACTGACAATGACAACTGACCCTTACTTTGTCCTTTAAATATACCCTTACATTAGAGATCCTTCAAATTAGAGCCATAAACCAATCATATTCATCATGTTCTTTGTGCCTATTTTTGTGTCTACAAATGGGACTCATAATTAGAAGTGCCGTAGCCTGGTATTTCTGCCCAGAATATTAAGATAACATTTACAAACACGAACGCTTGATACATCTTAAAAAAATACTTGTGACACTTCATAACATTTACTCACTGGCTAATCATGCTTAGCATCTACACACAATTCTCTGCATTGATGAGTCACTTGAAACAGACGGCTGTTCACAAAAGAACTTCAATATAAATGGAATTCTGCAAAAGGCCCTGTACATCCTATAATAAAAAACTTCATCAATCTTCTATGGTGGTCTTCACAGTTGTGATGCCATATGAATTTCTTGGTGGTCACCAATGTTTCAGAGGAACATACTGCCTCTATGTTCGGAACAGTACGTTCCTCCAATATGTCAGTACTCACCTACAACATCACAACCAAAAAGACTAATCTGGATTACACATCCTTGTCCACATATGCCAGAATATAAATTACTTAACTTCATAAAAACAATAACCTCTTACAAGCAACAAACACAACAACAACTTAACATATAATGCATATAGTAGTTTCTAATGGGTCAGCTTCATAAGATCTCAGCAACAGAATAAATATTATACAAGACCAACACGTTACCTTCTCTTCCAGAGTGGTATTGGCAAACTGAGTAGTCACAAATTCTGCGAGGAGGAGCGAATATGTGATTATGTTGAAAGTGACAAATCCCAGGAAAGACTTTGACAGAAACTGTGGCTTTTCCCACCGAATATCTCGCAAATGAAAAACCTGCCAAGAAAGATGTACACAAGTTAGGAAATGTATGCACATTCATTACTATTACCTCCAAACCTTCAATAACTCAAATATTCATGAATTCTAACTTATGACGCTTTCTGGCAAACAGCATACAAAAGGCAGACAGGATGAATGAGCACCTCCAGTACAAAATTTTATCAAAATTAATCCAAGAGTTCTCAGAGTTATGAGATGAGAATAAAACTCCATTTCTTTAATTAACTCAAAACACGAGACTTACGGAAAAGGTATAACAGCATAAAATATGTGTTTAATTTCCCAGCAACTTTTATAGGAAACATTTTTGTTAGAATATTTAATGACTTGCACTTAAGATGCACGGTAAAAACAAGTTTTTAAAAGTACCCACTACTTTTCTCCACTTTTAATCAAAATTGGAACATGTCACCAAATTTTAGTAAAATCCTCCTATACCAACAATCACAACAACCCATTCAGTGTTCTTGAGAACAGATGAGACAGACAGCTAACATGCACATTTTTGCAACTTCATTGTCAATACACCTAAAAATACACCTAAGTATTCAACAATAAGCAATTCCAAACAGAGCATTAAACTGCCTGAACACATTCCAATATCCCTCATCACCAATAAAAAACAAGGAGTCTCCAATATGATGAACACAAGCAACTGGTAAAATGCAAGCATTCATAACATGTTTTGCATGATTAAGGTACTATTAATTAATATTATAATACTGACTTTGCATTATCATGTACTTCATAAAATTAACAGAATTAGCCCATGCTCACAGTGTTAATACAGGTATTGTTGTGTAATTGTCATTAATTATGCAAACTACGGAACAAAATACATGACAGCACACCCCTTGCTTTGAAATATTTAAATTAAATGTAATTACATGATTCATCTTCCCTGTAAGTAAAGCAGATCTTCAGTCAGTATTCTGTGATTTTTTTTTCACAAGTGCAATGTATTCCAACAACATTACTTAACACTCAAATTTAATTTTAGTTTTCACATAACCTCCAAATTTCACACACCACATACCAGGAGCACAAATAATGATCTTTAAAGGCTTTAGAACATTATCAGACTTCCTTATTTCACTACACACAAGTTTAATCTCAGAAGTGAAGATCTGCAAACCTGAAATACTTACATAATCTTACACAAGAACCAAAAAGCAGTGCGTTCGTATCTTAAGAAGTCTCTTCAAGTAGGATTTGAGGTTTTCACGGTGCTGAGTTTGAATATGGCTGTCTTCCGGGTGGTTCCTCCACCATCAGGGTGATCACCCTGATGATGGAGGCAGCAAGGACCTATGAAACTTTGGTAAACTTCTACAACAACCCAGATGACAGCCATCTTCAAGTCTCTTCAAGTTGTGGTTTTTTACATTTAATGTGCTATATGCTGACAGTTTCAAACAACTGTCAAGAATCAGTGTCCCAGGCAATTTTTTTAAGTTAGTAATAAACCTTCAGATTCCATAAAAAGGAATTCCTTGAATAGCCACTGTTTGGGGAAATACTGTACTCAGTAAAAACATGAGAATCCTATACAAATTAATAATATAATTTCCATAGCATAACAAAAGATTTAATAAGACGTTATAAATTACATTGCATGGGTAGATACACAAATTCATTAAGAAATGGAAAATTAAATGTCCTCACCTCAAAACTGAAGAAAATATATACTACCTCCTTTCTTGAAATCTTCATGAGAAATGACAAGCACTGGACAATGTTACATTGTTCTGTGACAATGTTAAGAACACAACCGATCATTAACTCTCAACACTTAAGGTAATGTCACTATGAAGGTGTTATAAATGGAGAGATTCAATTACATCAGGACAGAGACAAAATATAAATAGGTAATTAAAGCATCTCTGTTGCTGTCATCACTGCCTAACATGTATGACATTAATAATGCTACTTGACCATGACTTTTGCATATTTGGTAAGCCAATGCCATTTTGTCATGACAAACATCCATGCCTAAGCCTTTAAATCCCAGTGGTAACTAAGTATACCACCTCATTTAACAGGTATTGCTGACATGAGCCCTATTTCCCACTGCAAACCATTTTTTACTTGTTTTATATGGGTATACGACTTGGTCTCTCACACTAGGAAAGAAAATGGACGGAGGATAATCTTAAAAGGTAGCAACAGGTTGTGTATAATAATGATTAAAAACTTTAATGAATCAAGAATGTCTGACAGGAGGGTGCTGAGGAGAATGTAACAGAAGACTGGAGGAAAATGCAGTCAGGAACTTCATACAAGGGGAAAATCTTTTGACTAGCTCAGTGACTACCAGCTTCTCAAGGAGGATCCTACTCAATTAGCTTCTGTTACTATAACTCACTTTCAGGCAATGTGCATTACAACTACAAGTGAACACAACCAAAGCATTTCAACACATAAAATTAATAATGTTTTGTTACAATCATACTTATTACAAACACAAAGCACTGTATTGTAGGACTTTAAACAGGGAGATTTACTCCTACTGATCATAAAGCAGACTTTATTCTTTCTTGTTTGCTTGAAATAGCAAATGTCTATCCTAAATACATGGTGTTTTCCATTTGAAATATAACCCTTAATACTACACATGGACTCCATTACACAAAAAATAACAAAACTAATAGGAATATTAAATTCTTGCAGCCATATCCCATTGTTGCAGCTGTTACACTGCTTGTAATCAGGATATGCATTGCTACATGTTTCACAAACATCAGAAAATTATTTTTATGGGAGGAATTGTCAAGAATGAATACACACACTGCTCATGAATACACCATATTTGCCAAGCTTTTGCACAACTGGCATGAGCAATGGCCTAGCAAAAAAAGGGTGACCCTGACTCAAGTGTCACAGAGGAAGCTGGAAGGGTATTACAAGGGGATTGACCTGCTTCTGATGTGTGTGCTGCAGTACATGAATGTTGTTGGGTTGTGTTTGAAATGGTACATCCTGTATCAAATTAATTTTATTGAGCTGATAACTAAGGATTCAATCTGCCAATGCTCTGTTAACCCCTACTAAACACTGTTATTTACCCCACTACAAAGGTGAAGCAACTCCACTATTTCCCCTCCTCTCAGCTCCCAATAACACATCCAAGCCAGTCAGTGCAAGTGTACCTACATAGTTCATACTAAGTACACATGTACCAGGCAATCAGAATCCTACAGCTGCTACTAAGTGGATGAGTAACAGCTTGATTATTTGTTCCTCACAGTTCAATCAATCCTTATGCCTTTCTTTTTCTTACTCATTGTCTGTGAATAATTTCTATCTATATAGTTGTTCCAAAATCTCAAATGTTTGTGGTTTAGCATTAATACCTCTTAATCATTCATTTATGACACCATTTCTACAACAGCAAACTGCCAAACACAATACTGATTTGCAGTCTGCCAGTAGTTGAAACTGATATACTGGATTATACCAGTCTGGTAATATAAGCACTACATATTCAACACACATGCACATTAATTTACAGTGGCAATCTTCTCAAACAAAGAAGACAATCAACAATAAGTGGCCTGACCCTCCCCCCAGCTTGTGAAGTGGCAAAATTACAGTCAATTAAAACACAGTCATTCTCACAATCCAAATAAGACTACAGATACAGTAATATTTTGATGCAACACACAAAAATAAGAATCATCCCAACATTTCTATTGTTTCACATTACATCAAAGTTATTCAATCTTTAATGTCTCGATTACAATTTATAGGCTTCTAACAGTTTCAAACTTTTTCTTACACACTACATTCAAAGGAATGTACCATTTCATTACTAAACTGTAAGTAAAGCACTCAAGTGGCATAATTAAAAGTATTTTAAATGTGAATAATTTCCTTAATTAGCCACATCCATAAGGTTTCATATAATATGAGACTTAATATTACACTACATTAAGCATGGTTAATATAAATGGAAACAATAAGTTCCCATCACAAAAAAGTGGTTCCTTCTCCATCACCACATCCCATAGCAAAGCTATAAGATCTCATACAATCAGATGTGCTGCAATTTAATATGAAAACAGTATACAACAGAGCTAAAATCCATACCTGTTATAGTTATTCTAACGAAGTTCCTTACACAATTAAAATCTTGCTCACAGAATGCTGTAATGATATGTGCCTTACATAAACTGATAAATGATGATCCTTTGATCTTTGTTATCACAACTTTCCATGTTCACAAGGAGAAAAGGAAGTGGAAATTTGGATGCAACTAACTTGATGTAACACAGTCCTCCTTAAGAAGCTAACAGTCACTCAGCTGGTCAAGTAATTCCCCACCTTTCATGGAAATCAAAGGTTCATTACTACCTTCACAAGAGTCCATAACTTGACACTTTAATAAGCCAGATGAATCCCAGACTACATCCTCAAATATTCTGTGAAGTTCTCTCTATACCTAGTCTCACAATCAATTTATGAGTTTTAGTGTGGTAACATAACAGACAGCACTCATACTTTAACACAGAGACATGTCCGCAGTATTGACATACAGAAGAGGTGGTATACCAGACCTATGAAACATACAACTACCATATCAATTATTGTAGGATAAGTATATGAGTGACAGTAGATTATAGAACAAATCCTGGAATGGAAGGTGACTAGAAGTTTAAATTTGGATAAACAAAAATACATTATAAATCTGGGTACTCACCTCTGCCCAAAAGCAAACAACGAGCGACGAACCAGATAGCAAAAGTGGGTAGTATGCACTCATAAGACTGCGTGACCATCCTTCCTCAAATGCAGCCTAAATATTAAAAAGATGCTTTAATCAAACCAGTCCTCCAAAAGCAGCAAAAATATTACAATTACTGTTTATCCTTCTGCTCTTCCCACAAAAATTGTCATTATAAGATGTGATATTTTCTGTGACTAGACAAATATTTTAAAACCACAATTTCACAAGAACAAAAGTATCTGTCAATGAAAACTATTGTAGTAAACTAAATTAAATCACCTGGAAACAAAATAATTGCATATCAGTGCCTCAGCAACAGCCTCAAATAAATGACATATAAAGCAGTGATAACAATGATTAAACCAATGAATGAACTTTTTTAGTTGTTGAACGATAATGAATCTCATAAAGAGAATATGCACACTTAATTTAAACCAGACAATTACAAATTGCTAAAAATAGGAATGGAAAATATTCAGAGAAAAATCTGTACATGCAAAATCTTTCTATAATGGTGCTGAGGCTGTTCTGATCTTCAAGCATTTAGGAAGAATTTTATTTGTTCTTACCGGTGATGTAAAATATGCACCCCTTATAATGGCAGCTAGAAACACCACAAAATATAACAATTTCTGTGTGGTAACACGACAAGCTCGAAGAAGTGAAGGTGCCTTCATTCGTTGCCATTCTGCTACAATGCATATAACCAGCTGGATCAGGCACACTAGTGCCAGCAGGAAGAAGATTGTGGCGAATGCTACATAGTAACTCAGGTTAGGTACATGGCATTCTGGCCCATCAAACTGAATCTGTAGATTATGGACATATCAAATCAGTCAAGCCTCATTATTTTGTAAACAATTTAAAAAAACAAACTTCAAGTAAGGTCATTCACTATCATATTATTACAAGTTCTACTGATCTTAAAACATGATGTAATTCTAAACGTTTAAATTAAAAATATACAAATGTCCTTCTTATGTTAGCACCTAAGTCACCTATTATTAACTGCCATATACTCATCAACACACATTTGTGATCAGAGATAGGCACATCAATGTTTAAAACTGCAGTATATAATATATATATATATATATATATATATCTTATAGTAAGCTTCATCAACAAAACACTAAAAATAATATAAAGTAATGTAACCTCATTTTTCGTACTATGGCTTCCATGTTTTTAAAGCTTCCATTTTGACAATTTTATTCTCAGTGACTTTCAAACAATCCTTTCAAACTATGGATGTATCATACCCAGAAAACTAAGACTTTCTACAACAACTCGGTGAAAACAATAATAAAAAACATTAATTAAAGACAATCCAGTATTGCTAGAGTCTACAACTACCTGTCATGGTCTGAATTCAATGACAGAAGATTAGGACAGGATTAAAAACTTCTTTTAGTAATTTCATTCCATGAAAATTATCAGTACCATAAATTGTTAAAGTTAAGTATTAAATTGTCACAATCTATATTAATAGCTTCCTGAAGTAAAGGCAATATGAATTCAATGCTTCTTTTCCTAAGCACAGTCTGCAAAAATTATTCACATCTTATGAACACACATTGTTCCAGTTAATGAACATCTTGTCAGATAAAAGTGATTTTCTTATTTAAGTACAAGAAGGAATTTCTTTCTTCCCCCTCTGAAATTTTATATCATTACTTAAGGTAAATCACTCCATATCCATGATAACTGGTCATCAGAGACACAAACAACATAAACATTTCCCTTTGTGCATAAATTTTTAAAAAGTAGA